TTGCATGAAATCAGTTTATTACCCCTTAAAATTTTTGTTACCAGAGGGTTGGAATATTAATGTTTACAGTGTGAGTTGTTGATAAAGATGTAGACAACATGCGTACTGATATATCTCAGCAATATCATACCGAGTCATCGTAAAAAATTTTCGTGATTCTAAAGAACAAAGGTTGAAGTTCATGAATAAAAATTGATGATGAAAGTGTGCAAGTTCACGTAATGTAGGTACATTACAGATAAGCCATGCGGTGTCGTCAAGCGAGAATTTTCCTGAATGCAGGGACAAAAGTTGAAAATTGAATCAAGTGAAATGTTTATGATAGAGTGCACCGTTGTACGTATCATTGTGTCTCTCAGAAAGAGATGTCAGGTGAAAACTTTTTAACAACAATAAATATAATGTAGAAGAATATTGCTCTAACAGTCTGCTTTTCATATGGTTGCCATTAACGAGTAGAAGTAGGCAACAAATAATGTCGATAAAATTTCAGGAAAATAGTTCTTACATTCGACGAGCACATTATCAAAACTGGAACGATACAAACTTCGTGAGGAAATTTTTGCCTGAATATTCGTTATCTCATGCGAATTCTTGAAATATCCTATTCGGTCTTGATAATTTTATTAACACGTTTTTGCGGGAATTCGCATTCATTTTTCTTAGAATACTAGTACTCATTACTATGAATAATTGCTTGCAAGTTCTCTAATTTCATTCAATATTATTGGTCATCATAAGAGTAGCTTCGCTCAATTTTTCCTGTTACAGTTGTGTTTTCTCTTTTAATTTCCATATTAATATAATTATAACTGCAGCTCTGAATTTAAAAGTTGGATATGAATCATTTTACAATGCCAGCACCAAAATCCTAGAAGCTTTTTGCAGAAACTGATCCAAACTAATTATCGTTCTTGCTGTTATCCATTCCCTTTCTCATGAGCACTACTTTTTGTTCAAGCTTTAGTTTGAAGTTGCATTTATTTTTGTGAATTATAATATATTCTTAAACTTTTCACTCAAAATTATTGCAAAAACTTCCTTATCTTTCATAGATTTCCATAGAAATTACTTTTGAGTTTGACTGTTGTTAATTTGATTACTTCACACGATAACAGCATATTGAAGGTTATATGAGAAAAGACACATTGAAACTGACGTATGGCTGAGAAGCACACGTTGTAATTAAAAGAATTCCAATATAGTTTGAGTAAGCATTGCATTCCACTTTGGGAAGAATTTAGTTTGCAGTCCTAAATCAATCTCAACATGTGTCGCTACTGAATATATTTCTTAATTTTTTTTTTATATTTCTTAAACATTACCTGTAAAAAATGCTACGTTCGTGCTAACGAATTTGGTATGCAGACTTAATGTCATCGCAAATATATTCTTGTTTAATTAGTTGTTAAGCCTTGATTGAACGCAATAAATGTTGGCTATATATAAATATAAATATATATACCGTATGAAATGGAAGTTCTCTGTTCTGCAATAATTAGTATGAAGTCTGCAATAAGTATTCTAAGGTAAAGTAAGAAGAAAAGCAAAAGAAGCTCTTCCCGTAATGCTTCATGAGCTCATGAATTCTAGACAATACTATGCTATTGTTTATTCGAATTCAGTAGATGTAGTGAAAGTGGATGCATGCTACTTACTACTTGCCTAATATTGTAGTTATCATTTTACTAGACTTTCACTATGTCTACTGAAATTGAATAGTTAAACAATAGCATTGTGTTGTTTAGAAATTGAGCAATATTCGATTGCTTCATATATTTAATGAAAAATACAGATGATTTAATTCCTGTCACCGTTAATATCAAGAATTAAATAAACCTGTATCAAACAACAGCATCTATTATCATAGACGTAAAAGTGTATTAATACAAGGGGATTTGCAAATTTTAGTTAAAGACTTTTTATTCAGGCGATGTAACAAGCAAGCTAACGTAAATTGTAATTGTAATTTCAGAACATTCTTTTTCAGAAACATATCGAGTTTGTCTTCCTTCCATAAATTGTTCCGTTACATTTTCATTCGGCATTAAACTACTTCCGGTCCTGAATCATAAGAAAGAAAACGTGGGAGAGGAAGAGAGATGGAGGGGAATGGCAAAAGTAATGAAATATCTGTGAAGGAAAAGAAGGGACTACGGGAGCCAGTTTCGTTGTTTCTGTTTCTATCGTGATTTCCGATATGTACGCACTCATTCCCTCACATATTGTAGTAAATTACAAACGCCAAACCGGAATGAATTCAACTGCTGATTCAGTGAAGAATGATAGAATGTAAGTGTATATGTACACCTGCATGATACTACTCTACCATTAATACTGGTACAGCTCCCACTGAGTGAGACGATGTAAAAACCTGATTTGATCCAAACATTTCTGTTTTTATGCTTCGTTTCTATTGTTCGTGTGATCTCATTATTTTTTGCCACCTTCCTCCACGTTACCGTTCATTTGAAGTGAACCACAATCATAATAATCGGATCCTAACCGGTCTCGCTCTAAGAAGACTAGACCGATTTTTACTTTAATTATACATTATAGACTTTTTCCATTCATTCAAGACGCGAAGTGATGAGTATGAAATTTGCCCTAGCTTGTTAAATGATTATTTGTCTTCCAGAGAATGTAGCAAAAGCAGGTTCCTTTTATCCTTGGAGCAGATTTTTTTTTACATTTTTTTGGCTCTCTGAGAGAAAATCTCATGGCAATTGCCTCAAATAGCAATGACTCATTCCTCACGGAGTGAATATGTCCCTGCATACAGAGCATATGGCTTAGTTACTTTCGCTCGACCAACAATATATAAAAAGAGCTAAATAAAAGATCATATAGATATCCCATAGCACTTCTTGTATTAGATTTAAAGATAACAAAATATAGTGCAACCTTCCAGTCTAGTGAAAGAAGTGAATAGTCGATGGTAAAACAGTCTTGAGAGGAATAATGCGCTTGATAAATCATAGTACTATTACTTCTGGTTTGTCTTTCTTTTTTCCTCAAAAAAGATAATACTAACAATTTTTACACCGTCAACTGACCGTGAAATTGGTGGCAGTAAATAACTGCAGCAGCTTTGTGTGTCATAAGCAGTTTTCGATAGAATTATATACATTCTATTTAATCAGTTAACTACAAATCTAATAACAGTGACTAATTAAACATAGTTCATGAGTTAAAGGTTACATGTGCACCACGTTAAAAGCATAATCTGAATTTAAGAAAAATTAGAATTTAGATAAAGTATTACACTCACATAAGTGCAAAAGTGAGAGACGTAGTAGATGTAAATATATACTGTATTTTAAAAAAGTACACATGCTACATTAGTACAATTATTACTTAGAAATCTACATCTTAAACATGTGGACGCATACGCATTTCTTTATGAATTTTGTTAACTATACAAACAGAGAGAGAAATGAGTTGGCGCACGGTCACGTTTTCGGGAACTGCAACAGCTGATCATGTGTGCAAGGATCAATTTCTGTTTAAATCTGCGTGCAGAAGAAGAGTCTGCCATGAAGACAGAGCTGACATATTAACTTGCACAAATGAGGTAATATTGTCGAGATACCACTGTGAGGTGTCAAGTTGAGTTTGTAATGGATATTTACAGTTAAGTATCTGCATAATACGTGAAAATATTTTGGTTATAGTGATAATATGTCGTCGCTCCGTAAGGGAAGAGTAGATTTGGATTGTGTAGAAGAGTAGATGTAAAATTGTTCCAACTCGAAGAAACGGACCTGAGGAGCTGGAGAGCAAACAAATTGCTGATGGATAAAATAGATCGAGCATCTGCTCTCTTCAAATTGCTGTTGCAGCTATTTCTGAGTCGATAAAGTAGTAGCAGCTGCAGCAGGGGTATCAACAATCTTCCATTTTATCTATGTATTCATCTATCTATCCATACACATACACCATTCCTACATTTCTTTAGCGTACATGCATTATTATTCATTCGCTAAGAATTACGATCTCAGCCATTGTTTGCTTGCTTCTTACTGTATTTATTCAGTAAATATTTTAAATTATATTACTAGTCTTCAACCAGATATACAGATTAACAGCATTTCTTTCAGAGTACAAGTCTCCCTATGACTGTATAAATTGAATATTTTGAATAATTGGTAGTGTATTACAGCCGGATGAAATCTGAAACAACCATTCATTATTTTCTGACTGCAATAAATTCACGGCGATAAAGACAAGGACGGGAAAGCAAGCAGAGGGTGGCAAAGCAAAGAATTGAAAAATGCATTGCAAGAAGGGGCAAGTGGACGGAACAGGCGGTGAAACAAATGCCACATCTCCCTTCTCCATTCCATATTTACTCCTATCGCTCCCTTTCTCCCCTTTTACTTGGAGCCGTTTCAAGAATCGTCAACTCACATACATATGTACCCCTACTGCTGATGCTGCAACAGCATACACTCACTATCTTCTTGCACTCTCGACCGGTTCAGTTCAATTTACCCTCTCTCACAATCGATTCTCACCTGCAGGTTCCTGATCTCTACCCGCTCTGCAATACCACTCTCGATGAGAAATGCACCGGAAAACTGCACAACCATCCCACTTCTTATGCTGTTGATAATGCTGGTGCTGGTGCTGCTGCAAATACGACATCAGCATCCCTCTACTTCTGCCGTATAGTCCTTTATTGCAGTAATGTTGAATCGTTTGCCCGTTTCTTCTCTTTTCTGCGTCGCTCAATGGTTATTAATAAGGAGATAGAAGAGGAAATTGTACGGATGCATATATGATAGTGTTACCTTTGGTATATCGTACCGATTTCAATAAAGTCACTGGCAAAATGCGCTTTTGCATACTATTCGTGCTCCTCCTTTTTTATGATCACAGACCGAAGAATCAGTAATTTGTTCTGGTCTCTACCAAACAGCTATCATGCTTGCTTTCACTTTCCGAGGTTTGATGATCATTTGGTAGTGAAACAAAATTGTGATACTCATGACAGGGTAATGAAATATCGTGTGAAGCGCACTTTTCTAATCATTTAGTAATTGCTTTGAAAAACTGAATAAAACATTTATCAAATAAAAGCTCACTATGTTGATTTTTAAATCGGATGTCTATAGCTTCTTTATGAAAGAAGACCATCCAAACCGTCAAATCATGACCATAATAAGACTTACTTGCCTCTCTTCCATCCTTTATTGATGTAGAGGTCAGGGAGAGTTTCATAGGTCATTCCATGCTGTTACTCTCTCCGCATCCTCTGCGTTTTTTTATTTCTCATAGATATTGACCATATTTGCATTAGTGAGCACATTCATGTACTTGGTTTGCATTATACACTTTATGAATGTGCTGAATCAGGTGGTGTCCGAACATGAGTGAAAAATTCTGCTTATCGGATGGGAAACTGGCTAATTTTTCTTTTTATTTAATTTGCATGCTTTGTTTTTTAAATTTTTACTTTCAATTCGCAAGCATGTTAGCTGTGTTGATCGTGAGACCAACTGGAGATATATCAGTCCTTGTACTCCAGACCCTCTGTAAATAAATGATTAGCGGGTTACCTTCTGATGCATCTTCAATCACTCGAATATATTTGTCATTCGCGTGTGAAGATCGATGTGTCTTGAAAGTTTCCTGCATCTATAATGAACAGTAAAAAAATCCGTCTCCCATCCACCTAACTGCCTATTTGCGCCTCACTAGTTCGTATAAATTAGTCCGTATGACTCCACCGGCGTCAACATCCTCAACCGAAATCATTACTATGATCTTATCCTACAGAATGATTTTACCAAACACTCTCCGCTTATATCAGCATTTTGAATAATTTGAAGCTATCTTGGAAATGAATCATTTATTTATCCAAAATGAAGGGCTACCTTTGATCTTAACATTCTGCAATTGCCATCACATTGGTAATGGTGTTCTAATAGTGTTAGTGATGACCGTTACCTTGTGGCAATTTGATCAGGTCAAGAATTGCTCAATTCATTTTACTATATTTATAAAACTCTTGTATGTAGATAAAGAGATAGTATAGTCCCTGCTGCATTAATGGTGATTGATTGAACCTGTGCAATTATTAATGGTGGGTTCGTTATTTTAATTTAACGGAAAAATTACCGCCAATGAAAAGAAGTAGAAGATAATATGGATCTTAAAGATGTTAGAACTATCCGGAACCACATCATCTAAATTGCTCTCTTCATGTTGAGAAAGTCTTTCTTATGTCGATCATTCTCTCTGACAAAACTTACTGAAAACATCAAGTGAGGTCAGGGGTCAGGGGTGGGTGACATTCAGTGCCTACGCAAAGTTTTCTTGATTCCCTTTTGTTACTTGTACCCCATTTTTCCTTGCTGGTTAATAACTTATAAGAAACTTGAAATTAAAAACTATTTGCAATTTTGTGTCGCACATTTGTCGTCATAGTTTCAATATTTTAAGTTTTAGCTTTAAAAGCGCACCAATTGCTGCTGAAATTGGTCATGTTGGATGCAAGTTATAAATTTTAGCACGTTTGCGGTAATTTCAATACCGCTTACACGATATTGTGTTGATTAAATTGATGCAAGTGAAATTCTCGAAGGTTATAAGAGGGATGCTCTTTTACGTAAGAGAATTGTATTAGATTTGCGCTGTATTTCTTTAATCTTATAAATTCAAATATTTCTAAAAAGCCTTTCTGAAATAGTGAAATTATCCATGATTAAGTTTCCTTGTTTCCAAACAATTTGTGACTTTATGCATGTCTTACATAAGTTTCATTGTTTACTATAAATTTAATGAGTCTAATTGCTACATTTAAGTTAGTTGTACCAGGACGTTTTGTGGTGTTGCTTGCGCCCAGTTCTTTTTAAAAACATTTGATTGTGTGCAGATATTTTAAATACTTTGAAACATATAATAAAAATGAAATATTTTAACTTTCTTTTATATCATAGTCAATAACTACGTTGTAAAGCAGTTCAGACAAAAGGGCAGTGTAATTTGGCTTAGGCATAATGAAGAAAATATCGCTAAACTAATTTCCAGTGATGATAGTTGACTATTTTGAGTTGCAGAAACAAGAGCGGTAATTGTGGATTGAATGCCATCACCGTGTTGCTTGAATCCTCCAGGCGAGCCTTCTTTCAACGAAATCCTGATCAAAACTGTGCGTGAATATCCTGCCTTGTATAGCAACCAAAGAAGAGCTTTTGAAAATGTCGATCGTTGCAAAATTTGGGATGAAGTTGCTGGTAAAATAGGACGAGGAGTAACAGGTCATCCCTTCCATATTTAAAATTTCTTCATAATTATCTACGGAAATGGAATGTCTTCTGACGTCTTGTTTTTTAAGTTTCAGTTTGTATAAGCATCAAATCCGATGTATGCATATTGAGATTAACGTGCTTTACCACGGGCCGTAAAAAAATGATTGTTCTTTTCATAATACTTTTGTGGTTTCGATGTTATCATGGTGAGGATCAGTTAAACAATTTTCATAGGATTCTTTTTTGTTGTTATGCTTGACACTTTCGTTGGACAACTTGGGAAAGGGCTCACTGTTGTTTTATACGTATTGCGCAAGTGCTCATTTCACGCATTTCACTTAATACGCGTGTTTCAAGCAATCAAGCCTTGAATACATGTATTATGTACAAGTCATTTATGTACTCTTATTTGATTTTGGGTTTTGATATCATTATAGATTATTTTAACATACTGGAGCTTAAAAATGGCCATTATAGGTAGGGTATTATTTATAGGGGAATTTGCTAAAAAGCGTTGGTTACAACTCCGTGATCGTTATCGTAAAGAATTGAAGATATCGATTGCTCATAATTTCACTCAACCGCAGAAGTGGAGTCATTTTTCGTTACTAAGCTGGCTTGATCCATATCTCCAAGGAGCCATGTCAGCTTTTTGCTTATTATTTCTTGATATTATGTTATTGGATCAGTTTCCTGATGCAATTATAGAATTTATGAGCCATTTTAATGCTGCTTTTCTATCTGTAAATTGGGATTTATACTTGATATTCGTGAGATGTGTCTGATATGTCACACAGAAAAATTGTATTAGTAAATTTTTTTTTTGTGGCATGTGTGGAGACAAAAATCTATTTCATTTACAGACCAATAGCACCGAATGGTACTACTGCCTGCTACACTCTTGATAATATAAATACTACATGCAATAGTGATGCATTTTACGAAAATTTTGCTGCGAAGTTATCTTCAGATTTGACTTCTGATGGTTCGTCAAAAGACATATTCCAGTTTTTTATTTCTTAATATATACAGGACTGATTAATTCGGCATACTAATATTAGTAGACACTGTGAAGGAAAAAGAAGAAAGAATATCTTGAACGATTTGTGGCTGGAAAATTCATTGTTTTTTGCAAGTCTCGTAACTACTTAAGCTTTTTTATTGTATGCTACAATTATTATTCTGAGGTTGTGAGGTAAGTAGTAATTTGTAGGAAACGAAGAGGTGTCTGATTGTTTCGATGAAATAAAGCCAGTAATGTCAACACTACAGTCCGTTCTCGCAGCTGCTGAAGCTACTGCAAATTGGAAAGAAGTTGAAGCCATAGTTGATAAAGCGAAGGACTTGACAGGCAAATTGGAAAGTAATGCTTTTAAGTTCTGATATCGTTTCACTAGGAATTTTTAAAGAAAACTTTGTATCGTGTCTATAATGAACTCAAGGATCAGTTATGTCATCAACAAAATTATCCCATCGTATTTTTCGCTTGTTAGTGGTCAGAGGTTGTGACCTGTATAAGAGATGTGTTCTTGAGATTCTTGGATTTTCATCAGGGTTTATGATTTTGCATTTATCTTTAAAGGTGACGGAGAGAATATCTCAGATAATGATGGATGTAGCAGTAAGGCATCAAAAGACATTTGCGGTTGTGCATCTCCATCTTCGCAAGTATCAATTGTTTCTACAGTAGAAGAGGGTAATCAGCCGAAGAATAATCTCTTATCGCGAGATTGCATAGCATCGTATCAAGAATCAAGACGACAGCATGGGACGTTTCGTTTGTCGGTAGTAGAGGGAGGCACGATAACCACTTCGCCATGCACATCGGAAGGGGGCATGGAGACAGAAGAAATAAGTCACATAAATGGACACTATCCTGCCGCATCTCAGGATTACCACAACATTTCGAATACGGTTTCTCCAGCAAAGATCTCCCTCTCACAGCGTCCAGGCTCATCTATAGAAGTAATCAAGACGGGTAGTCCGGTTTCATTCAAATCCTCCACATCTCATGTTCTACGCAATTCACCTTATCGGTTACCTGCTTATTCGAATGTTCGATTTCGTACACGAAATATGAAAAAACAGCAGCAACAGCAGCAGCATCAAATGCAACATCTGAATTTCAACAAGGTATATCATCGAGTAAATTCAACAAATAGCACAAGTAGTAATAATATGGATTCGGACTGGATGAACGATGAAGAGATGCTTTTCGCTCGCTTTGTCGGTTTGAGGTTGAAAAAATTGAATTCTCACAGTAGATCTATGGTATGTTATGATTTTTTTAATCTTAAATCTTTCTTACACTTCGTATTTTGAGCAGTCGCCTTGAGAATTACAAATTTTGAGATTCTTTTTTTTTTTCAGTTTCACCGTTTTTTGCTTACCTACTCATTACCAAATATTTGTGATTCACAGTTTCTGACTACCTTCGCACATATATGTTTTTTTTGTTAACTTTTCAACACATTCTTGTGTTCCAGGCTCGAATGAAAATTATGCAAGTATTAGATGGCTGTGAGCAGGAAATCTTGGATGAAGGTGAATAAAATTAAAAAAGGTATATATCAATACATTTACTCCTTAGTTTATTTTGTCAGTGTCACAGTTGGATTTGATCACTTTTTTCTATCATTCCGTATAATCTACTAGCTGTTTATTGCTCTAAGTTGCTTTAGAATATTAAAAAATGATTACCGAATTACTGTGCCGCTCTTATTTCGGTAATATCAATTTTCAAAAGATGGCAGTGGTTGCCAAAATTACCACACCAAATCGTGCGAAATGAAGTCTGCGTGTACTTCCGAGCAGTCGATAAATCTTTGTGTACAGTTCTAGCAACCTTCATTTTTGTGTGTAAATGTTTCTAAAGTTTTTTATTTTCATATTTGTTTTCAAGTCAATAATTTTGACTTGTTTCTGGTCTTACTTTTGGAGACAAAATGTTATGATCACACCGAAATTTTCACTGCTAATTGTAGCGTGTCAACCTGAAATTTAACGAAATAGTTTGGAAAATTCCTTTTTTATTAAGGACAACAATATCTGCTGATTTGGATTCAATCAGTTTCATATGATCTTGAAGTCTCGTTATGTATATACAGGCTTTGTCACATCTTAAATCAAATGTGTTCGGATTTTGTCTTTCGTGAGATTTTAATGTGTTCTATTCAGGTTTACAAAACGTTGAAATGCTTCCTAATAATTGGTTAAAAGTGTCAAGTTTTTTAAGCTCAGTACCGATATTCAATAAATATTATTGTAGTGCTAGAAATTATCTCCTTAATTAAATTATGGGCCTGGTATCCAATTAGTCTCTATCCTATGTGTTGAAGAATTGAAAGCTAAACTTTATAAAACGGTGAAGTTGTTTTCTACAAATATCAACGCTGTTGTCGCCAACAGTAGGATTCTCGAGAACATTTCCTTCTGACCTGAAGTAGAATTTCATTTCCACTTCACTAACGGTATGTATCCATTCGGTAGGATAAATGCATGCATTACGTTGTAATTGCAGTAGATGAGGTACGAAATTAACTCTCTAGAAATAGGGTATTTATAGACAGGACTTGAATCATGGACAGATTAAGAAGCAGAAAGGATTACTTGCTATTTACATTCGAAATGTACTGGAGGAAGCGGCCAAAGCCGGATTATACCGAAGTCCATATTAATAATGATAACTTCTGAACAAAAGAATGCAAGGAAGATTGCTTGGTTTACTTGTGTAATCAGACGCACCTCTTGCATCATGTAATCATACTCTGGTATGAATCAAATCATAACAAACACTTGACTGGACTTCTAGATTGGAAATGGACAAGCAACGCTCGTGGTGAACAATAATTCGTACTTTGACGCAGACATTTAACTCGTATTTACAGGAGATGGTGTCGTTAACCTTCAAATCATAATTAAGAGGCTGGTCGATTTTAAGAAAAAATATAATGAACTGCAAACACTGCGTTATTTATTGGATTTTCGAGCGTCCGAAAATTATCTGTAGTTATGCAGCATCAATATACAAATCTTTTGAGTATATAAACCATCATTTAAGAGCCTATTTTCTATTATAATGAGGAAAGCTAAGACGAACAGCATCAAAATAAGATACATGAGACTATCAAATGAGTTCTGAAATATGTAAAGAAGTGCTGATATTATCTCTTGGCAGTTTACGATAATCATATGTATTCCACTGATAATAAAACAAACTTCATAAAAGCAAAGAACGGCAGAAAAAGTTTTTTCAAGGGACCTCCAGCTTCCTATTTTTTTATTAAGAAATAAACAATTGGGAAGTCATTAAAAAAATATAAGTGATAAGCCAGTAATTAAAAATAGGTCTGAAGACAAAAAAGTGAATACAACCAATGTTTTGATTTTTAGTGAAATAAAAAGGAAAATACAACAAGATGCCCGACAATCCCTGACAGTCATGCGCGGAAAAATTTTCTGAAATACGTTTATACTAAATGAAGATCATTTCAAAATCCTGAGAAGTCATCAAGTTTTCTTTCTAAAATAATTTTTTCAGAAAAGACTGAAAAGAATATTTAAGTGACATTTCCACGTTCAAAATAAGGAAAGTATAATATATCATTAGCAGATAATCAAGTATGACATACTTCGCATCAAAACAATTTAGTTAATATGAAAATTTCAAATACCAATTATAAATTGTGCACAATCAGTTTTCGTTTGGAATCATACATGAAACTATTCATACGAAAAGATTCGCTTTTGTAAAAAATTTTCACATTGTCAATACGAACTTGCTGAGCCTGAAACAATAAAAGTATTTGCTTTTTAATCAACCATACTTAAAAATTATTTGAGAACTTGAAAATTAATTCGTAATTAGAAAAGCGTGATAAATTGCAAAACACTTTAATGAGGCTTTCTTTGCACGAAGAAATTTATAACCATGAATTTTTTCGCAAAAAAGGTCACAAAAAAATAAAAAAGCATTGTTAAAAATCATCAGGCATCAATATACATCTAGAAATGCATCATTTATTGACAACTTAATTCGTTTTTAGCGTATAAGATTCGAAACTATTTTATACCTACAAGTAATTTACTACCTAAAGTTTCAAATTAATTCCTTCAAAAAAAACGAAAAGATTAAACTAACTTTTTCAATAAAATCAGATTCAGGAATAGATATAGTTGATATAGTAGCGTCCTTATGTCGCGCTCGCTCATAACACAACTGATCCTTTACTAACTGCTTAAGAAAATATAGCAGTAATTCATTGTGGTCTCGACTAACACTGATGTATCTATCAAAGTTCTAAAAACAAAAAACAAAAATTTTATCAAGACACTAAAAATAGTCAAGATATATTTTTTAATGGAGACTTCAAAGATTTTTTACAACTTTAACACGCACCTTTCGCATTTGTCGCACGATAGATGATTTCTGAGTACTGATAAACGAATCAAGCAGTACTCGCACAGCTACATCAACGTCCTCATCAGACACGTAAAAACGAAGATGAATTTTAGCATGTGCTTCAGCCAAACGAATCAATGATTCTACATGGCGCACTGTTATAGCCACTGATCCGGTTGCCTGTATTCAACAGCATTAACAGACTAACCAGAAGAACGTTGTAAATCAACTTCAAATTGCTATATACCTTTTCAACAGTTTTCACTGATCATATAGCTAACATTTGAAATAATCTTCATAACATGACGATGATTTCAAATGTTAGAGAATTTTCAAGAATATTAGTTCTAAGAACTGAGATAAGAAACAGACTTTCAATTCAATAATAAATTCATCATATCACGACAACTTAAATTATTTACAGAAAAAGAGTAATCATTTTCGAGAAACATCAGATTTAATGAAACCAAATTTTTTAGTGCTTCAAAATTTTTAGAAAGAATACATATACTACAAAAAGTGCCATAAAAATTCAATTTTACTCATTTTTTATCATTTAACTCATGAAAAATAAACCTTTGAAAAAATAAGGCTTTGAAACTAACCAGAGACTCCTTCCTTATTTCGGCAAAGAACTTTGAAATTTTCTGTTGAGGCAATCGCTCTAATTTTGGATGTATGTTCTCTCGAGCATAAATCAAATACTTTCTTAGTATTGCTTGTGGTATCAAATACAAACCCGTCGTTGGATCGATTTCTGAGTCCTGAATAACAATGTCAAAGATAGCATCAATAGCCTTGACAACTAATAACAATATGTTGCAGAAAAATAAATTTAAAGGTCAGACAAAATCTCATTAACAAATATTACAATATGTCATTCAGTACACTATTTCATGATCACAAAAGACAGCTATTGCCCCCAGCTTATTAATCTCTTGACAACGACTTTAAGGCTATTACTTCAGTAGAAAAACAGCGATAAAACTGAATAATTTACAGATGCGTATTGTGATTCCTTTGTTTTTTCAAGAATTTCCACTGAATTTGGATGCAGTTTACGATGATTTCCCACAACAAACTTAGCAAGTCGTTCGTCTTCCATTGAATCGATCTAAAATATTTCATTTAGAAATTTAAAATTGTGGACGTTCAAAAATCGTCAAATTACTTACTGTATCTCGTACCACACACAGTACATCAAATCTACTCAGGATGGGTTCCGTCAAATCCACATTTTCGGCAAAAGTACGCGACGGATCATACCGACCACCAATAGGATTTGCAGCGGCAATTACAGTACAACGTGCATGCAGTGATGTAATGATACCAGCTTTTGATATAGAAATTGACTGCTGTTCCATTGCTTCATGAATTGAAGTACGATCCTAAATAAAGCAAACTTGCTAAAAATTTGTTAATGTCTGCATGAATACTACACGTGGAAGTTACTAACATTTTTGACTCAAACTTCACAGTGTAAAGAATTTACCTGATCATTCATTTTGTCAAATTCATCGATGAGACAAATTCCTTTATCAGCCAGTACCATTGCACCCGCTTCAAGTGTCCATTCACGTGTGACAGGATGTCGTTGTACATATGCAGTAAGACCGACCGCCGAAGCCCCTTAATAGGAATTTAGGAATTTGAAGCATACTGCTAATTCTCTTTCCATCTAAAATAAATAGTAGAAATGCATTCCCACAAAAAATTGAAAAACCATACCTTGACCTGTAGTAAGAACAGCTCTTGGTGCGGCATGTGCTGCATACCGTAAAAACTGGGATTTTGCTGTACCGGGATCACCGCAGAGTAATATATTAATATCTCCTCGAATGGTATGCTTTTCGCCAGGATTCTTCTGCTCCCCTCTGAAAATTCGTGAAATTTTATATTCTCTTCAAAATATCACTGAATGTTTCTTCCATTTTTATGGAAGACAATGCATTAAAAACTTACCTGAAAAGTGCTAATGCAATGGCTCGCTTAATATTTTCATGACCATAAATTGATGGTGCAATGCTTGCAAACACTCTTTCTGCTATTTGTGGATCCTTCGACAAATGACGGATAATCTGAAAATACACCTAATATTGTTAAATTCTAATCACTCTTTCTGAAATTAGTGGTATAAGACTTTATAATACACTGAAATTGCAACCTGGATATCTTCATCAGTAAGACTTTCAGACGCAATTTTATCTCTCTTTGATACATTATTCGCGTATATCACAGTGTTAAATACAGGAAAACCCTGTTTGCTATTCATTGATCCATCATAATTATTAGTGTAAACACCAGTTACTTCCTGCAAGTATTATGATGCTTCAAGTTATACAAATTTGAAACGAAAGATTTTAGAGACATTTTACTGAATATTAATAGTTTTTTCATGATCCCGATGCCAAATAAATTCAACTCTATAATATGCACGAGATGAAAACAAAAAACTCACAACTTCATCGCCTGGTTTGCAAGCATCACACAAATCATTTGTAAGAACTACTTCTTTACTTCTTGGTAACCGTCCAGCAGCAACATTATTTGGGGTTTCTTGTATAGTTACTCGCTGATAATTATGATAAACAGTATTTTCCATATTTATCTCAAATGGCCCACGACTCTGACAGGAAGGACATGCTATTGGTCTTACTTCTTCATCTTGACGCTGCACGAATGGACCCAAAATATATCCGCAAGAAGTGCAGTCAAACTTTACCACACATAATCGTGGTAACATTCCTACAATAAACAAAAGTTAATCTCAAGTGAAGCTGTGAATACTGTGATAGATTTGTCATTATTTCGTAGTAAGATCTAAACATTATTCATGACATAAAGACAAAGACAAGAGTTCTTTTCAAAATCAAAAGCTTTTTAAATACAATGAGACCTGTAGTGACTGTTACAACACCAGATGTACGAATCAGTGTATTGAGATGTAACTGGCGTAGCATTCGTATGTCTTCTTCAACAGGAAGTCCACATATACGTACCTGCAATTAATAATATGTAACTTCAATATCTTTTGCCCTATTATATGAGAGGAAAATATGGATACTATTTTTTAAATATGTGCATTTATACCTTTGCTTCTGAAGATATACGAGAGAAAAATGGAAATAAAGAAACTGCGACTTCGGTGACGGCACGATTAAGACATGATAACACCTAGAAAATCAGTAAACTGGTTTAGGTTCCGACATAAACATAGAAAATTTTGACCTATACGGTTAGATCTAACCAGTAAAACTCCTAACATAAAATTTAAAAATGTTTTGGAATTTTCGAACAAGTTTAGCAAGTTATACAAGAAGTGTAAATCTGACTGCATAAAAGTTCTATCTGAAATTAAAATATATTAAAGTCACAAAATATTTTTTCCATTTCAACACTTACTTCTAAAGGTGCTTCAGGCATAAAATAACAGATATTTTGTTCACCCCTATCACTAGCTAAATCAGCATAATCAATCTCTAGCGACTCTTTGTTTTCAGCGACCATCAGCTTTATTTTTTCCCAGTATTTTAGATTGTTGGTTTCTGGATCTTTATATCCACGAAGAAAACTTTTGAATCTGTAAAATATAATTTTTATAAATTATTCCATAACATTCTTTGCAATGGGTGTTATTTAATTACACATATGTAATGGATGGGAAGATGATTTTTCCGACCAACTATATTACAGTACGCACACTCTATCGAATACAACAAGATAAAATTATTTAAAAACAAATGCCTATATCCTAAATATTAAATTTAAGCACCTTCTGATTATTTCTCGGCTCACTGCTTCATCAGAAACATGTTCTCGAGTTGTTCTTCCTCGTAAATTTTCCAAAATATCAATAGGAATGCCTTCATCTTCATCTATTCCATCTTCATCTACTTGATCTCTTTGAAACCGACGCCGGATACGATGTTCGTCTGTATCATCATCCTGTAAAAGTTTAATACTTTTTTCGATAAAAATTTTTCATCTGCAAAGTTCTATCTTTGTCATTTGTCAAAAACTGAAGAAACACTAATAATGAAATCATCTCATGATTGAGAACTTGAATATATAATGGCAATACTAATGCGTAAAAATGTCTAACAACTGAAAACATAAGGATTTCTATAATATATGGTCAGAAAATTAACAGCATAGAAAAATTTAATTTCACTTAAAAAGTTGTAACTGCCATAATTGAAATAACTGGAAACAATTTTTAATAGGTGTGGCAGCAACAAACCTCTTCGTAAAGTAAAGCATTTTCAAGCAAGTTATCCCGCTCGTTCATTTCACGCTCAGCAGCACGTCGCGCACTTTCTGATAGCTCCGAGTAATCCACTGAATCATCCATGCCTGATTGAGAATAGACATCCAATTCTGGCTGAGGGCGATAATCCCTATAAAATTACGGTAAAAGTTATGGCCTGAGAGAGGATTATTAAAAAATTAAACGAAAAATTAGAATTAATACCTTTCCATGTCATCACCAAAGAGGTTTTCACCCTCTTCATCTTCTACTTCATTTTGTTCATCGCCGAATAGTTCACTTGAAGCGTCGTGATCATCTTCATCATTAAGATCTCGATCGAAGATATCAACACCACTTTCTGCTGATCCAATATCATTGACTAAATAAAAATTCCACACTAATATAGTTTTCTATGAACAACTAAGAAAAGCTTATATCCCTAATTTTTACATTTGCAGTTCTAGCTTAAGTTAGTAGAAGTAATCATGATAGGTTATTTATATTACATGGATCGATTCTGAAATATGACCATAATTACAAGTGAACATATAATGTTGTAGGATGAATGCATCAATTCAAATAAATTTTGATATAGAAAAAAAAATCTCCAGCCTTTGATTAAAAAGATAACCTTCAGAAGCAGTGAATCCAGAACTAGCTGAATTTTGAGACATAACTTCTGTAATCGAGTATGCTAATGTTCAATAATCTGAAGAATAGTAATTACAACGGTACTAAAAATGTTATACAAATTCTCAACTATATTTCGTAAAATTTTTTCCATTAAGCACAAAAAGATCATCCTCACCTCGCAAAACTTTAGCACCTCAGAAACTGTGACAACTAATATTATCCAAATTTCTTTTTACAAAATAATAAAAAGTCAAACTTTTCATTTTAAATTAGTGGATTTTGCGCTCTTTGCTTGAAAAAATACCACTATTGCAGCGTTATTGAATAAATTGATCCTGTGAGTATTTTTGACTATACTTTAAAGCTTATGTTCTCAAATTGGTTATAAAGCTCTATGTTGCAAAAATTACACTTTCCAAAAATAATAGATTCTTGCAGATAATAAATATTTTCCAATATTGTATTTTTATTAAAATATACAATTAATGAATTTTAATTTAAGATGCAATAATTAACAATTTTAATACATATTAATGCCTAATTTGCAGTGATATCCATTAAACACATTTGTGTTCTCTTTTAATAGAGTTAGCCATTAAATTTTTATGAAAGGAAATTTTATGAATTTTGCTTTTTCACTGAAATTAAATTTAAAATTCATTAACTCCATTCAAAAATTTTTCATAAATGTCTATTGTTATTGATGAAAAGGCAGTATTATCAGCAGTTATCAGTATGTATTTGCTTATCACAGCTGGATGAAATTATTGCTAAGAATAGTTATTAATGCAACCACAATAATTAATAATTTTAATATTGTTTTGTTAATTGTTAGCTGACAAAACACACTTTGTTATTAATTAAAAGTGAAAATATAATTATCAACAGATCATTAAGCATTACATCAAAATAGTGAGGGATGGCAGAAAGAAAGCAGTTGTTTTGCATGAAAATAAATGCAAATAATCATTCTTATATCATTATTATTGCTAGTCTTATAGTCTTGTTCTTAGCATTGCTCTCAATTTTGTATTACTTTTGTTTAGAATAAAAACTGCCAAAGAAAAGAGTAAAATATTGTGCTAAAAGAAGACAAACTTTAATCATTTGTCAAGGTCTGTTGTATATTACTGATTTCTTCGTGTAGCATTTGTTAAGCTATATATATAATTTTTGTTTATGTAAACTCAGGAATTGGAAGTATGATGATATCCAAACAACGAATATCTGGAAGAATTCGTTCCAAGTGCTGAAGTGCTTCGCACTTTTCCCTCTGAAGCCGAATTTGGGAAGATAGTCTCCTGTTTGCCCAATCAGAAAGCGGCAGGGCCTGATGGAGTTTATAATTTCTTTATTAAGAAGTGCACCTCCTTGTATCAGATCTAAACAAAATAGTAAGAAGGATTTATCTGAATGGGGAGGAACAAGATTCGTGATTCTATAAAGGTACTACCTAGCGGATTCCAAAAGGTGTCCCAAGTAAAGGCAGCGACTTCAGGCCAATAACTTATATTTCGAATCTTTACAAGTTAACAACGAAATGTGTGGCACGCGCCATGCAGTTAGATATTGCCATGAGAAAGCTGCTTGCAGAGAATCAATTAGGAACCCAGGTTCAAGGTGCAAAGAAACAAGCAATGTTGAACCTGCCAGTTTGCAAACCAGCTTTATACTACGGGAACCAGCTTTATACTACGGGAACCAGCTTTATACTACGTGGTATGACATCAAAAAAGCGTTCGATTCAGTTAATCACGGATACCTGATTGAGTGCATTGAAAGACTTAACATGCCATCGTGGATCAGCAGGTTTCTGAGAAGCATCACCTCC